GTTAAAAATACAGCTGCCACACGATCCAACAATTCTACTTGGAGTTATTTATCCAAAGGGGGGAAAAAACCCACTAATTTGAAAATACATATGCATCCCTATGTTCACTGCAGCATTATTTACAAGAGCTAAGATATGGAAGCAACCTAAGTGCCTACGGATAGAAATTAGATGAAGAGGTAGAACAGCTCATAGCAGCACAATTTATAATAGCTAAGATCTGGAAACAGCCCAAGTGCCCATCAAAAAATGAGTGGATAAAAAAGCTGTGGTACGCCTGGCTCAGTGTGGTGTGGTGGCTCAGTGGCTGAGCATCAACCTATGAACCCAGAGGTCATGGTTTGATTCTGTGGTCAGGACACATACCCAGGCTGCAGGTTCAATCCCGAATGGGAGTGTGCAAGAGGCAGCCAATCCATGATGCTCTCTCATCGATGTTTCTGTCTCTCTCTTCCTCTCCCTTCCTCTCTGAAATCAATTTAAAAAAAAAAGGCTGTGGTACATTTACACCATGGAATACTATGCAGCAGTAAAAAGGAAGGATCTCTTACCCTTTGAGACAGCACGGAGGGGCCTAGAGAGTATTATGCTAAGTGAAATAAGCAGTCAGAAAAAAATCAAGTGTCAATGATCTCACTCATATGTGGAATCTAACAAACAAAATAAACGGTTGAACAAAACTGAGACATAGAAGCATGGAACAGGCTATGTCCACCTCAGAGGGAAGGTGGGGTCAACCAAAGAACTTGTATGCATATATGCATAACCCATGGACATGGACAATAGGGTGCTGAAGGCCTGAGGTGGGGCTGGGGCAGGCTATCAGGCAGCGGTTCTCAACCTGTGAGGCTCCACCCCTTTGGCGGTCGAACGACCCTTTCACAGGGGTCGCCTAAGAACATCCTGCATATCAGATATTTACATTACGATTCATAACAGTAGCAACATTATGGTTATGAAGTAGCAACAAAAATAATTTTATGGCTGGCTAACATGAGGAACTGTATTTAAAGGGCCAGAAGGCTGAGAACCACTGCAGTAAGGAGTCAATAGTGGGGGGAAAGAGGACAAAACAGAGGTGGCACAAGGAACGGGGTTGCCCAAGTTTTATGGCGACTACTGCAATACCTACCTCACCCATGACTCTCCGTCTGTGAGAGACATACTGCAGTGGTAGGAAACACAAGGAGAGTGTGAAAGACCACTATGAGCAATGAATTCAAGAGCATGACAGACAAAACAACTGCCGCATTCCAGCAAGGACGGACACCTCCTTCTCCATTCTCTGCTCCTCCTCCTGCAGGGGCAAGGATCCCAGCTTCCCCAAGTCTTCCAGGTCCTCGCCCTGGTATAATGCCAGCACCCCATATGGGGCCCTCCACCTCCTGGGATGATGCCAGTGGGACCTGCTCCTGGAATGAGGCTGCCTATGGGGAGGGCACATGCCAATGATGCCTGGGCCCCAAATGATGAGACCTCCCGCCCGTCCCATGATGGTGCCCATGCATCCAGGGATGCCTCTACCAGACAGATAAGGAGAAAGGGGGCCTCTTTCTATCAGTTACTTGTTCTGTTTCACCAAGAAATCGCGGTGCTATAACTCTGGGTGTTTTCTAACAGCAAGACCAGAAGATTCACTCCCTCTTCCTATCAAAAGAATAGCTTTGGAGGGGAGTCGTGGGACAATAAAACGCAATTTTCATGTGTATTGTGACATGTGAAGATAAAACTGGAATATTACTCAGCCATAAAAAGAATGAAATCTTACCATTTTTGACAACACGGATGGACCTCTAGGGCAGTGATGGCGAACCTATGACACACGTGTCAGAGGTGACACGCAAACTCATTTCTTTTTGGTTGATTTTTCTTTGTTAAATGGCATTTAAATATATAAAATAAATACCAAAAATATAAATCTTTGTTTTACTATGGTTGCAAATATCAAAAAATTTCTTTATGTGACACGGCACCAGAGTTAAGTTAGGTTTTTTCAAAATGCTGACACGCCAAGCTCAAAAGGTTCGCCATCACTGCTAGGGTATTACTCTAAGTGAAAGAAGTCAGAATGACAACGACAAAAGCCGTATGACTTCACTCATATGTAGAATCTTAAAAAACAAATGCGTAACAAAACAAAACAGATTCATTAGTGCAGAGTACAAGCTGGTGGTTGCCAAAGAGGAGGGAGGTGGGATGGGAATAAAAAAAGAAAAATAAATGCTCTCCCCCTTTCAATACCTCACCCCGATTTCACAGATGAAAAGGGAGAACTCAGTTTCTTTACCGAGTGAACACATGCTCATCAATCTGACATTACTCTCCCTGCGGTGTCTGGCTGAGCTAGATGCTCCCGGAAGGAACTAATACACGGAATTTGTAGGTTCCAGAATGTTGCTGCTATTGTATTGACTTCCTGTTTTCCAGGAAGTCGAGTCTCTGATTGGAATATATTTGGGTCAATGATTGAGAAGTTAAGACCAGCTGCTAATAAAGTCGGACTACCCCTAATTGCCGGGTAACGGTTTCATCCCTTCTATGAAATTAAATTGTCTTAGCGAGCAGTAGCAGGTTTCGCCCTCCCCGTAACGTCCACGGCACCTGGTGAAGTAGGCGGGCCCGAGTGCCACTGCTGGATGGCATCTGGGAAAGGCATTTTCCTTCTGCCTCAAAGAAAACACCAGCCCATCATATAGCACACTTAACGCCAACAATGCAATTTATAGAACCATCACCATTCAAAATCACATCAAATATTATCCATACTAATAGATATTTAAACTGTAAAGCGTATTCTCTCTGACACCACTTAAAATGTACTTCAATTTTTTAAAAAAAATTGTTTTTAATCCTCACCTGAGGATTTTTTCCCCCATTGACTTTTAGAGAGTGGAAGGGAAGGGGACAGAGAAACAACGAAGTGAGAGAGACATCAACTGGTTGCCTCCCGCACGCCCCTGACCCAGGCCCCGCCCTTGACCGGAATCAAACCCGCGGCCGAGGCTCTAACCATTGGGCCATCGGGTAGGGATCTTTTTCTTTCTTTCTTCCTTTCAAGCACTGGCATGAAGTGCAAGACACAGAACTCACGAAGAGAAGCAATCTTCAGAACACTGAGCTCTATTCGATACAGTTAGCCCGAGAGTGAAGAAAGAAAAGTTACAGCCTTCAGCTGGCAGGCTTACGCTGCAGCTTTTCCCTAAAATGCAATGTGGGGGTGAGCGGTCCCTGTAAGCAATGGCAGCTGGACTCTGGTCATGCATTGAGAAGTTAAGACTGGACATGCATTCAAGCCCAGTTGACACAGGAGTCCTTTCTGGCAGGTACATTCTTTCTCGGGTTAACACGAGGTTAAGACCCACACACACTTAAAAACAAAGTACCACTGGCAGGTGCAGACAGGCTCCACTCCTAACCTTCCGCGGCAGTGCCTGCCCGTGGTTTTCTGCAGGTCTCTCTAGCGGGCTCTCCACTAGGCCAGCGTTCCCCAACTCCCGAGGCGCCCGGGGTTCTCCCGCGCTCCACTCCCGCGCGGCCGGCACCGTACACGTGCCGCCGCCACCCCGTACGCATGCGCGGTGGGATGAGCTGGGGGCTGGGATGAGCTCGGAGTGCGTCTCCCAGCG